CGAAGAAAGAAATGAAAAAAAATTTGCAGTCAACAATAACAAAAAGGGGGAAAACCGCCACATTTAAATTTATGTTGCACATCCAAATCGGGCGTTACTTTCTGTGGCGACTGTATATGTATCGATGTTTACCAAAAAATGTGATTAAATTAGTCAACCAAATTTGGCAATATCCCGGGTAACAATAATTAATCAGAAATGATCTTGAATACATGTAGTATTTAAGGGGTGATACACAAAAATAGGGGAAATTAACTAATAACGATAAAATATACGTACTAATTAAAATTTTTTGTATCACATAAATATGTCGATCTACCAACATTGATCAAATTTTAATGTGAATTTTCCTTATTCTTTTTTACAACTAAATAATTTTTAAGAATAGCTTTTGCTTTATCTTCACCTGATAATTCAGATTCTATTACTATATTATTTATACTATTATTTTTAATATGTAATACAGTCAAACCCCTTTATAATCACGTCCATTTATAGTTACATCTCTTTATAGTCATTCTATTTTGCTTTTCTATTTACATATAAACATAGTAAAAAAAATCCCTCTATAATAACATTTCCTCTAAAGTCACCAAATTTTGCTTTTCCAAGAATGATGACTATAAAGAGATTTGACTGTATTTCTCTCATTGCTTTTAAATTTTTATTTGTTATAACAATATTGCTTTTTTTTAATTTTGATAGTTTTAGTTTTGCTTCTTGAAGTTTATCATTCATATTTAAATTAGTTTTTATATCATATTAATTAAATATTTCTTCAAGTTATTGTTAATAAATAGTAATATTCCAGATTCTATTTTTAGCAAAATTATATATTTGTGAAAATTTTCAAATTTTGATCATATTTTCTATAACAAATTGTTGAAATTCTTCAAAAAACTTGGATCTTGTGATACTTTTTTTAAATTAAAGATATTTCATTTTGTAAATTTTGTTTTAAAGATTTAATATAAGAAATTTCTATTGGTATAAGTATTATAAATATTAAATAATTATAAAATATAAAAAAAAAGCTTGAACAAATATTATATTATTGTTATTATCTAAATAACATATATTGAGTGATAAGTGAATTTAATATTCCATTCATTTTTAAAACTTTTACAGATTTTTTAATACCATTTTTAAATAATTCTTCAATTTTGTTATCAAATAAGTTATAAAATTTTTGGAAAAATATTAAACAGATTTTTCTTTGCATTTTTTAATTTAACAATCCAAAATTCAATTTAATCTAATATTTTATGAGCATAATTTCCAGAAGAACGAGTTTTAATATTATTGATATTAAAATATATGGGATAATATTATTTTTAGTCATAAATTCATAAAATTGTTCTTCAAATTTAATCAGTAATTTTAATTAAATATTTAAAAAATTATTACTAAACCAGTTATTAAAAATTATTTATTTTTTAATATAAGATTTTGATGTATTATTAGAAATATTAAAATGTAATAAAATTCATGAAACAAATTATTGATGAATTTTTTGTCATTCTATATGTTATTGAACTATCTTTAATTTGTATAGTCATCTTTCTGTAGTCAGATTTTGATATTGTATTAATATATAATTCAAAAGAATTTTGTAAAGATTTTTAATTGTTTTGAATTTCATATTTAATGGATTATCTTTATAACTTTCATTATATCCATTATGAAAATAAAAAGCTAAACAAATAAGATTAATAGAATGTTCTTGAAAAGATATTCCAGAAAATGAGTCTAATTTTTCAAAAATTATATTTTGAAATTTTGTTAAAGTAATATAAATAATATATAAATCACAAGAAATTCTAAAAGAATTCCTCCTTATTCCGGTAAAACATCGTTAACCCAACTTAAGGAGATTATCGGTGTAAATTGGGCCGAGTGGATAAAACAATGCCGACAAATTCTAACGATTTTGATACTAGACGAAATTCAAATGATATTCAAACAAGAGCGTGGTATTGACGAAAGTAGTGAAACGGTGCGGATGTATTCTGGAAAACTGTGAAGGGATGTCTTCAAGAAATGGCAAAAATCTATATCATTATGTTTGGGGCATACGGATATCATAGTGCAAACTCTGCAGGACTTTCGACTCCTGTCGAGATACCACCATAGATCTTGTGGATATCAAATTCATCGTCGAGGAGTCAAAAGGATGTGTTGAAAGGTACTGCAGAAAACACTTCCGATTAGCCCTCAGGACATCTCAGACTTTAGTCGATATATTCAAAAACGACAGAGGGACATGTGGGTTTGGTTTTTCACATATTGCGATATACAAAAAACGAAATGGAGCGACGGATTCGGGAAAATGTGTTGATTTTCAAAGACATTTTTACGTTCATGAATTCATGTGTACGACGATTGATCGATGCTGTGCTTCACCCAAAGTCAAAAGTCTTTCTCCTGAACAATTGCAAATATGCCAAATGGCTTACACAAATAAGGAGATGTCTTTCAATCCTGACAATATCAGCATTCAGCGTTTAGTCAAGTCTGGAATTCTTGTGGTTGATGGTGAACATCTATTTTTTTCGGCACCTCTTATGAAACGATCATTTTTCCAGCAAGTTTATGGAAATCACAACACTACCGAAATTGCCCCATAATTATATCATTTTATTGCGAAGACTTTCACAGCAATGTGCAATCGACAAAATGGAAAAATTTCAGAGAGACGCTTGGATTTGGAGCCGATGGACGCCTTTTAGAGTATTAGGGATGAATCATTTTCTATCATGTGACGTGGGCACAGTTTTTGGATGCGATGGATACATCGATTTTTATGTGGATAAGTTGGACTGGGCAATAGAGCTTTTTAAGAGATAGTAGGGATATGGCCGAGCATAGTAGGAGGTTTGAAACTGCAGGAGAAAATGAAGAGATTGTTAGATATGCAAAGAGTATAGCTATTATTGATATTCGCAGTGAATCAAAAAAGATTCGAAAACTGCATAAGGATTTCATACACGTATCATGCTTCGAAGATTATGTCACGTTCAAGATAGAATGTTTGGACAAAGAACCTTTGATCGTTAAGATTCAAGATTAGATGTTGTTATACTTTGCAACTTGATGTACTTAGAAAGAATAGATTTTTCATTTATGATTTGCAGTTGGACGGCCCAGTTTTATTTTTTGGATTATAAAACAAAATATGAAAACCTTGCAAGGGAGGAAACTGCTCGGATCTTAGGTCATAAAATGAGCGTTCCTATTCTTTGGGATCTTCGAAAAAATATGCTACTGATACACGATCGATAAATAATTTATTTTTCTATCCCAGAAAAGGCTCTGGCTGTCTATCACGTAACGGGACATTGAGATATTACGTCCTAAATTGGCTGATCAATGTTAAAAAATTGAATTGGTTAAGGCGCAATATTTAGACATCCAGTGATCCGAATTGAACGAAAACACTACTATTCGATTCGTCTAGTCGAGACAAATCGAACAGTAGTGTTTTCGTTCAATTCGGATTACTGGATGTTAAGAATTAGATTCTTGGATATTGAGATGTATGTTATAAAATGACGGATTGTATTTGAAACGTAAAAGTTTATGTCCGATATAGAAGTCCACCAATCTATTAAATGCACAAGCGATCACCCAAATTTTCTGAGCGTTAAATACGACACCTGATCGTTATAGTACGTATAATTTTGGGCAATGCCGGGCGTTCTGATACTTATGGTCGTTACTGTATGTTGTAATTACTTATGACCTATATGTCGTAACTATTATGACCGGCAACTTTAGTTTAGAATGTGATTAGTGAAAATAATCTTTGATTAAGATATAGTTAGTTAGTTTGCTAGTTCTTCTATACATATCATACGACGAGAAAACTCATTACCCCGACAGTAAAATTACTTGACTTCATTTGCTGACATCCCGTTTCCCCGAATGGAGATTTCCCCGACATGACGTTTCCCCGAAAAAACGTTTCCCAATATGATGGGATATTGTGTAACTTGGCTTCGGGGAAAAGGTTTCGGTAATTATATCACACCCCATAAAAATATAATATATGCAGTGTTGTTAACTGGACCATACTGGACATAGTCCAATACTGCGCCACTGAACTTTGTAATTTTATAAGTCCAATGTGGTCGATATAGTAATATACATGTATTCGTAATAATGATATATGTGTCTCGGTATCACAATATTCGACTTTTGATTACTCTTGAATATATGTATACATATTGAATATATGTATACATATCATGAGTATTGAACTATTTTCAAACAACATCGACACTAAAGCATGCTGATTACTTTTTACGAGTTGAAAATTCGAAATATGATGCAAATTTTTTGAAGAAATTAGTTGTTTTCGATTCCAAGTTTTATCTACGAATGGATCTTCACTTGTTAATCAACATGACGGAAAGACAAAAAATGGTTTAGAAAATCAGCATTGAATCTGAAGTTACAATGATACCAATCTGATTGCAGGTCATTCTGAATGTTCTTTATACGTGCGTACTTGAACGGCAGGTTGTGAAAAATCTAGAAGGAAATATGCTACGTCTCGAAATTAGTGTATTGTACTTTTGCATAAGACAAGGTCGACAGGTTCGTGTATTTAAAAATAATTATTTATTTATTGTCTACCATTACATCTTAGCTAACATATTAACGTTAATACGTACATGGCTATCTTCAAACCCTCATTTAAACCCAACCAAACTCGTAAAAAACTTGTCCGATAAACGCAATAAACATGCCCAAAAGGATTTGGAACACAACCACAATAGTTCGGATAAATGGAACATATCCGAAGATGAGAATAATCAATTCTTCAGGATGCACGAATTCTTCTAGGCGACTGATATAGTATTTCCCGTCCTGCGCTTGACGAAAACTATAAATCTGAGTAGCTCTAAAAAATTAAATTCTAATAAATTATATGATTTTTGTATTGTGGATAAAGTGCTAGTACAGAAATAAGATATTACTTTAAAGTTATTCGATTAAATGGCGTAAAGAGAAATCGGCATGTATGTGTAATTCTTAAAATGGCCCGAGTTGATTGACTGTCGACCCCTTTAAATATTGATTCAATTCTATATTACAAAAAATAATAGAGCTAAAAGAAATTACTTACAAATAGAATCAACACTTGGGTCGTTTCTCCAAATGAACCCTATTCATAGTAATAAATTAATGAATGAATGAACAGAAATGAATTCATTATTAGCGATCAACATGCCAGCTGCGAATCTAAACATTTTTATTAGATCCTCAACAGAGTTTCGTCGACTGGGCAAAAAGAAAAATGGATGTCTGAACTCAACATTCAGCGCAGTGTTTTTGCGTATTGCATTTTCGCCGATGGCTGGGTGTTTGCCAGGATGAATTGTTAATGCATCTATAAAGACTTGTGGTAGATCTGTTGCAGGATTATTCATTTTTAATTCGATAAAAATAGCACTTGATTTTTGTCGAATAACATAGAAATAAAAGTGTTTATATAGGTAACAAATGTAAATATGATAAAATATGAATCATACGAAAACGCCAAAGAAATTTATTTTAATTTAATTATACTAAAAGCAACAAATCAAATTACTGAACACTGAACAAGATGCATCAAAAATTTATGAAAGGAAGATTAAATGAAAAAGTTTATTACGTATATTGAATAGTGATTTTTGCAAAATTGTCCCTCATAACATAAAGATGTTAGTTTTGTTTATTCTACAAGAAACCAAATCGCTCGTGTCCGTAATTGTTACCGGCAATTGAATAATTTATTTAGATCTATAATAGTATGCAATGGACTTGGCTCCGCAAAATATTAATTAAAAATATGGAAATCAGATCCAACTAATATAGGAATTTACTAATCCCCCAAGTTCTTATTGGTTGAGGATATTAAAGGTTAGTTTGAGCGTTAGGATTAGTAGTGGAGGGATGTTTGTATGTAAAATTGTCTTCCCGACATTTTTATTAGTGCTTCGAACCAGGTTTACCCATTCGTTTTCTGTATTTTTCACATTATTCGTCTTTTTAATTTTCTTGTGTCGAATTCGTTTTACCAGGATGATCAAAAACTTATGCATCTTTATTGGTTGATTTAGAAGACCTGGTGTGCAGTCAACCAATCAGCGATGGAAATTACTTGTATCCAATCAGAACTTTGGGGGAAATTAGTAAATTCCTATATAATATAGGGGACCGTTAAAGCCGTGTAGTGAATTAAGGCTTAAGTCATAATTATCCGGATTGACTTAATGCACATGACCTATATCTGTAACACATTCAATGATTGGCTG